TTCATAGCTAACACACAGCAGCGGGTTGAAACTAAAAACATGTTAAATAAAAGTTAAGTTGACTAAGATTAATAAATTACAAACAAAAATTAATACAAACGAAACGAAACGGAAAAATACTTACCTTGATCAAGCGTAATATGTAATTGCAATAGCGAATAACTTTTAAGTTGAAAAATACTTCAAGACAGAGAACGTCGCGCTTTCGGTAAACTGACTAAGAAAAGTGATTATGCTTAAAAATTGAAGTAGACTGCGTAGTTACGTGCGCCATGAAAAACGTACAAATGAAACAAATAAGATGTAACTAAAGTAAGGAAATAATAACAAACTCAACAAAAAACACTAAAAAGGAGTAATGGGAAAATTAAGGAAGAAATAAGTAAGAAAACAAGTAACTACAAAATTACACAAAAATAATTAGCAAGCAATTTGGATCTTACATCCCCCTCATATCCTTTTGATTCTCCCCCGTTCATTAAAAGTTAATCAGTTGCAGGTCAATTTTCTGCAGCCACGTTCCCCCTTTTAAGCTCTTTTGGGGACGACTGATACCCCTCATGTGATCTTTCTCCTTCCCTCCTCTCTTTTTCAGATGATAAACAATGAAAGGCCCCTAATTCTTTGGAAAATCCTGCATACCTCATGGAAAAGGCTTATAACAGAGCTCACATAGACATTTAGTGTGACAATACGGCTGTATAATTGTATGAATAAAACTATGAGAAAAAGTGTTCGAATTCATTAACGGTTTATTATGACCAAGGTGATAAACCGAAAAAAATCTTGCTTTCTCTCGTTGTTTTCGATATTCATGTTTTCTCTTTCATGGTCCAGAAAAAGTCAGCAATGATGGTCGAGATCCATATGAAGAAGTGGAATGGATCAACACTAATGCTCTTACAATCGTACTTGTAAGGGTGACCATGTTAGACCCTTTCAGCCATGCAAAGACGTGAATGCGAGCTTAACCAAAACTAATACATCCCTCAACTACTCAGATAAGGAAAGATACACAGGAGACAGTGATGAATAGAAACCTCTACCACGTTAACTTGTATATAGAATGACATTTCCCACCAACGGATTCTCTGCAACTTTATTGGGAGAGCATCCAACCGCAGTAACTCGAATCTTATGGGAAAACTCGGGTTACTTTGTTATATGCTCGTTGCAAATCACACCTTTTTTTTTCCTTATTGAGTACGTTTTCTTCACAATACTGACTACGATTGCAGTTATTTTAATGCCATTAAAATAGCAAACTACCATCTAAAAACCTCCCGCACTACTACTCGTCGTTCGCGAGACTTCTCTTGCACTCCTGAATATGTCAAGAATGGTAATCAAATGATTTGAAAATGTGAAATAGTTTTACACTTAATGCGGGCGTGGTATTTTCCTTGGAACTCATGGAGCCTTAACAATTTTGTTCTCCTCAAAGAATTCTTACTAACAACTGAGGTATAAATGATAAAATAGTCTTTTTGCAATTACCATTCAATTTTGTAGTCGACCCATGTATTAATTACAAAGCCATGAGTAATGCCGATAGAAGGGGCACCTACGTCACAGTCTTCAATGAAATGTCACGTGACAATGGATCCTGGGGATGGTATCGTTTCGTTGGAGCAGCAGGAGCAAGAATGCCGGACAAATGCAATAGTCGACATAAATAACACCGTTCTTTCAGGCTAGTCGAATGACGATCATCCTTCAGTGGAAGATGATGAAATTTCCAGAAGGGTCTGCTTTTCCCAGCTACCCTAAGGCTGTTGCAGATTCATACTGGACATTTCAGTGATCAAATATGGGTCCTATTACATTTGAGGTTTTGTTGCACCACCTAAATGTCCAGGACGCTACTCGTGTACAGAATAAATGTATAGAAAAAATACTTCTACTGGAAGATTTGACGCTAGTGAAGAACTGCTGCATGGTTTTATTAAATATATACTGTGGTGTTTTACAGGGATTTCCGGCCCTAATAAAATTGTGATGGCACCCATGTAAAATTACGACATTTCTTTGGGTTTATTTGATACCACCAACCTGCGGCTGAGCGTCACTCACCTTTCATTATAATGAATTTCAAAACTTTTAGAAACGAAAAACAGCCAATTAATTTTTTTATCCTTCGTTTAACAGCCTTATGAATGAAAGGGAAGATTCCCTGGCATCAAAGTTCTAATAGCCAATTTGTAAAGATTTTGCTGCATCGAAGCGTCCACGAGCGTCATGTAAGGTGCCGGTCACAAGAAGCAAGTGACGAGTTAAGACTTGCAATAATCTTCTTTTTCTCAGTTTACCTATCTTGTCATTGTAATCTAGAATGCTTACGGGGGAAGGTTCATAATAGGATGATAATTGTCATTATTTTATGATCAATATCAATTGTCATTGATTTATGATCAGATGCAAGAGGGCACCTTTTGTAGTCCAATCCCTGTTAGTGCTTATAGGTAAAAAACAAAAAGACAAACAAAAAAAAAATCCAAAC